TTTTTTTTTTTTTTTTAATGACGGTGTTTCCATTATTGCCCAGGATAGCCTCAGACTTGTGATGTTCCTTCCTCAGGCTCCTGAATAGCTGTGATTACATGCGTGGGCCAACACACCTGGACAGAAGTCTTCTCATTAAGTCTTATTAGGCAAACCAGCACTTTGTGTTGGGAATGATTCACTTGAAACTCTTTAGTTTATTCAAAGTATTGCGGTTATAATACCCACCTCCATTTTGTACACCTGCATTCAAGAACATGTAAAATCATGTCTTTAAATTATTTTTAAAATTTTAATAAGACCATATGCTAGGTTTCTTCAAACCCATTTAAGAAGCATTTGCTCTAGACAGTGTTAGTGGAGTTTGTATGTAATCACAGCTTCTGAGGAGACTGAGCAGAATAAATCGAAACCATCCTGGGCAGATCAGTGAGACTCTATCTGAAAATCAAAAAATTAAAAAGGACTAGCAATGGTGCTCAGCGCTAAGGCCTTGGGTCCATTCCCAGTGGCTACAAAATAATAAAAATTAAAAATTAAAAGATTTTTTAAAAAAAAGCTGGGGATAGAGATTAAGAGTAGAACCCTTGGCAGCATGAACCATGCACTGGGCTCAATCCCTAGTAAGAGAAAGAAAAAAATGTTTGTTCTCGCTCATTAACTCGCGGACCTTCGAGGGACTATATTAATTAGCTGAAATGCTGCCCTGGTGAACATACTGAACTAAAACACGAGAGTCATAGGGAGGTGTGCTCTGTAATCCCCGTTCCACTTTACATCCCAGTGTTTGATCATTATTTGCTCCGACTCCCAGGTGCCATTCATCCATCTAACTAAAAAATCTTTGGAGGACCTTTTTTTGTTTATTAATTCCATGAGATAAACTTTCTCTCTGTCTTTTCCTCCCTCATTTCTGTAACAGACTAAACAAGAAATTCTGCACAAGGATTCTCAAAGCAACCGGTACCACTACGGTTCTGCTTCCGTTAAGTCCTCCCTTCAGTTATCTAGGCTGATGTGGGCTTGAGGTTAAGGTGGGCAGTGCGGTGGAAGGGGTTGATTGCCGGGCTAGGTGTTGATAGCAGGTGGAAGTGGCTTAGCTCTTGGCCAAGACCTATGCTGGATTTCTCTTTTCCTGTGGGGATCATGAGTATCGGTTGTAAGTACTGTTAACTCTAGTAACTCCATGTGTGTTAAGTTTCTCCAGTTTAGCAGGTAGAGTGTTTCCTTTGTGGAATTCCTGAAAGTTACAGTTTCTTGTCTCTGACCTTTAGATGTGTGGTTGTCCGGGTTACTACTACTCACGGTGGGTTGTTTTGGTGAACCTGTTTGCTCTTTTCCTGTGTGACCTTTCAGTTACTGTGGTAAACCCATCCCATAATAGTTTGTGGTTGTTTGCTTTAAAAGGCCGGTGCTTGCCGGCAATAAGCGCCGCCTTGATCAGACTCTTGTCTTGGTGTCCTTCTTTTCTCTCTGCCCCATCTCCACCCCGCTGCTCTTTCAGGTTTGAGGCACTGCTGGACAGTGCTCTGCGTCGCCGGCTCGCGACATTTTCCTAATACTGTATGTGCCCTCCATTGTACAAAGACCTGTGACTTCTCTGATTCTGTACTGTAACTGCCTCACAATGAGTGTATTCAGCAGATCCATGAACTCTGCCTTGATCTTCCCTGAGCCCTCTGGCTTCTGACTTTGGAATCCATTATTTTCCTCCAACCATTGTAGCTCAGGTCTTTTGTGGATAGAGGTTTGCCTAGCATGTACAAGGGCCTAAATTCAATCCCCAGCACTGAAAAACAAATTCTATTTTATGGAATGAAGCATTGCCTGATGTTAAAATAAAAAACAAAGCCATTTAAGACCTGAAAAATAAAAATTTGTAGTATAGAACACTCAGCTGGTGTTGATACAGGAGAAATATAACTCCTGACCTGTTAGACATCAAATCTGCCAAGTTCATGGTTCCACAACATTGAGGAATAAAGTCACTAACCAAAGGAGGAAATCAGGAGACTTTTATTGGAAATAAGAATAGCTCCTGAGGGGAAGGGAGGAGAAAAAAGAAGACACAAGATATATCATGTAGGGTTGGGGATTTAGCTCAGTAGTTCTGCCACCTGCCTTCCAAACTCAAGGTCCTGAGTTTGATCCCAGGTACAAAAAAAAAAAAAAAAAAAAAAAAAAAAAA